TACCTCTGCTCTAGCGGACCGTGAGAACAAGCTGGATGGGGAGATTGTGAACGTGGTTCGCGATGAGAAGGCGTGGAGGAAGATGAGCTACTGGTATGTTCCAACCGGGTATCACGTAGTGTTTGTACAGAGCGCTAACAATAGTATACAGGCCCAAGGAGTTCGTAAAGAAGTCGACGTACGTCCAAGATAGCGACGACGAGGAATCGACCGTCGGCAAGATGCCGCCCAGCGACTCAGACGAGGACTGAGTTCCCCGTCGCATCACTCGGTGTGCGCATGATCTTCCTCAATTATACCCTTCGTCACGCCCTCGTACTCCTTCCTCGTCCCCCACCATACGCCTGCGACCGTAATCGCCAGAACGCCCACAACCGTCGCCGAGCTTGCCGATGTACTCGGGTACACATTCCACGCCCACTCTTGCGCACCCCATAACGCATACACAACGGCCGGATTGAAACCTGCTTTCCATAGCAGGAATGGCGTACACCACGCGACATAAGCGTAGAACTGGTAGTGCAGACTACGCGCGCACAGTAGGCCAATGGTCATCGCTGTCAACATCGTCGTCATAATGAAATCCGGGGTGATCTTGCTGGACATGGTATCCTGGTCCCGAGGCTCAATGGCTGGAATACAGAGCTTGAGGAATTCGCGGACATTGCGCTTCGAGGGCTTGATCCAGCGGGTTCGCGCGTACCAGATGAGAAGGCCAACATGCAGAGCGAGCAAGCCAATGGCGAAAGGGCTTGAGAGGAACGTAGATTCCGGGACGAAGCGCCAGTTCACGGTCCATTTGTAGAGGAAGGCACGGCTGAGCTCGAAAGCGCGGGCGAAGTAGCTTGGTGCGCGCTTCCTGAAGGGGTAGCCATACAAAACCTACATTCTGATTAGCATCAATTGATAAGACTCCGTAATCGATGATTTACTTACCGAAACCTGCACGATGATCATGGCCTGTGTCAAGGCTTCTCTTCCACCCAGTTTCATGACCATGAGAATACCCATTGCTGGTAGAGGCAGCAATAGGCTCATCTTGACGTTCAGCCCTGTGCTATACAGCGCGCTCCCCAGATGCCATTGATCGCGTTGGTAGCAGAAGACAGCCAGCCAGAAGAACAGCACCGCGAAACAATCATTGAAGCATCGTAGCATGAAAATGCTATGCATGCGCTTTGAAAGAATCAACAGCGGGAAAATGTACGGTGGAACCTGTCAACATGTCAGCTTCTACTTCGTGCGAACCTCGAACATCATTAGCTAGAACAGGAAAGTACTCACCCTCGCCTTCCTATAACATTGAAACACCACACCAAGCGTAAGCAAATACACTCCCGCGAAAATATACTGCGCGAGAGCGATATCCCGCCCTTCATCCGTCCACTTGTAAAGCTGCTTGTAGATCCACACATGCGCACCAGGGTACACGAGCGGACCCGTCGAACCAGCAATATTCTTATAGTCGCGCTCGCCTTTCAGAAAGATGGCTATTTGCTGCATGTACGTTGTCCAGTCAATCTCAGTATCTAGAAACCTCGCTGTTAGGACACGTGGTGCGTTTTCGGTGAGTAAGAAAGGAGCACGAACAAGGTATCTTCTCGATTATCACGCCTGAAAGCGCGGCGTCTGCTACAAGCAGGAGCGGAGTCATCCATCTTGTGTGATCGGGATTGTAGGCTAGGTCTTTTGCGCGGGCGAGGAGCGACATGGCGGCGTTCGTTGTTGCACGCGGTTTTGGTGATGGCAAGTTCGGGGGTTAACGATGGTGTTATAGTTCGCGTCGCGTGTCACGTGGGAAGGAGGTTTGAGGTTTCAAGGATGGCAGTTTCGCGCGACGTGTGTTTCAGGCATCATTTTTCTCGTGCGAGCTGTGCATGGTGGTTTGACGTGGATTGCACGTTTTGTATGGAGTCAGACGCTGTTGCGCTCATGTCATGGTGTTGTGCTATTTACGGCAAGCGCGAGGTTTGCGCGTCCAGCACTTCGTTACTCTTTGCTTCAATGCCCTACACGCGATGTTCAATTCGAAAGTTGGTCTTCCGATGGTTTCGTTCGTCTTTTGTACTCGCAGCTCAAGTACTTTTCTCACACAAATGTGGCACGATGCCGTCGTCGTATTCATAGTGGCACAAATGATGAAGAAATTAATGCTGCATTAGGTCTAGGCTCTAAGGAATGTCTGTACAAGAAGTGCTGAGATAATCATGAACACTGAGAAAGGTCAAAGCCTATTCTCAGTACTGGCTGGGTGCTGGGCACGCAGGGGCGGCGGCGGCGGGAAGCGGGACGAAGGTGACATAGGCATCGGAGACACCTTGGCAGACGAAGTCCTTAGGGCCGTTGCCACCGGCACGGCAGTAGCTGGGAAGAGTGGTGGTACCGACATAGGTGAGGCTGAGGAAATGTTAGCAAATTTGAACGGACCGCGCATTCAAAGATATGGGAAGAACTTACTCGTCGCTGACACCCTGCTTGATGATCAGGCCGCTACGGTCGCTTGAGAAAGCGAAGTCGATGAAGCTGTTCTCGCCGCAAGAGTAAAACTTGTTGTCCTCAAGCTTGTCGGCTTGGGAAGAGCAGTTGAAGTCGAGGGTACCTCCGTTGGTAGCCTTGATGTTGAAGCCGAAGCTGTTGTAGTAGGTTCCCTCAGGCTTGCGTCCGAAGAAGTTGGAGATCTTCCAGACGTAGTCACCCTGGGTAGCAACTGGGCAGGATGCGTCGACCTGGCGGGCCTCGAGAGGTGCGGCGCTGGCAACGGCAGCGGCAGCGAAGAGAGAAGCGATGGTGGTGAACTGCATCTTGATGGAGTTGGTTTGAAGTTGAGACGAGGTGTTGGATAGTGTGGTAGGTTGTAGTTGAGTGTGAGAGTTGGTGTTGGATGATGACTAGAAAGTGAGATACTCACTGGCATTATATAGTCATCCCACCTCGTATTTGGGGTACTGTACTCCTGCCACGATCATCATGTCCGTCTCGTCCCAAGGTTCAATACGAGAAGATTGACACCAGGCGTCACCCTTGACCTTACCCACTAGAACATACGAGAAAGGTGTACCATGAAATTTCTCCAGGAACACGAGCCTCAGACCATGCCGAGAGCGCCGAAACCACACTCTATCCCAATTTTTGGAGCCTCAGTACCCTTGCCAACGGTGTCACGAACCAGTAGCGGCATCCGGGGTGACCGGATGAGGCGACAGGCATGTCCTATCCGGGCAGTTGGCAGACCTAGCCGAGCTTGGATCGTGCTAAACATACGAGATGTGACGTCTAGTAGGATGAACCAGGTATGCATTGGGCGCTGGCCGATCGGCTGTGCATGGCCTTAGTTCGGAAAACTAACGGCATGACGTCCTGGCTATATGTATTCTGATTGCCGTTGCAACACCGTACATGCGATGGTAGGCGACTGCTTCTTCCACATTTGTATCAGCGCGGTGTACCCTAGAGTGCTCGCGAACCACTATACCTAGGTAGCTTATCGACACACTGGAAGCGTAAAAGAGATGTCCTATGTTCCTGAAGTCGAGCCTGAGTGCTGTGGACCTGAGTATGTCGGCCGCGTGAATGATGACTGCAATCTCGTAGAGTTCGATCGGTCCGTTCCCGAACGACCTCATCGTCCACAGAAATGGGTGGTCCAAGTGTGGGGACGAGCGTAATATCAGTAATCGGCGCCGCCTCCATCACCTTGAATAATTTCAAGGTTAGCATGGAGATCACTCGTGAACGAAGGATCGAAATACGACGTCGCTTGGGGTTGAACCGAGATGGTGGAAAGTTGAGCCGTGACATCTGGAAGGAATGGCATCATCGAGCCGGTTGTTGCGGCTGTGGCTGCCGATCACCTACCTGGCTCGCGCCCAGGGTCCACGCTCAAAGACGGAGCCAGGAGCTAAACAATGACACCAACACCACTGACGCAGCATCGGAGTTTGTCCGGCGGCACGCTATATTTGCTATTTTTGGACCCGCGATCGTGAGCTTGCGCTCGACGCTGAACGAAAACTTTACGACCCAGGTTTACATCTAACTTCAGGAACTGGCACGGGTGGCGACGAACTTAAACTCACTGCACCCACCGTGCGCAGGGCGATTATCAAGGTACACAGGGACCTGAGACGGCACTCGAATATCTTATGGTTCCGTTCCGTCATTCTCGGAGATCTCGCTGTTGCTTTTGAGCCTGACGGCAACTGCCACAATTTCGATGGATGACTGAACAGTTTGCTAACCTCATCGGAGTCTGTCGGGTAAACAATATTGCACCGGCGTCGATAGGACCGATACACTATTAAATGTATGGGTGCGGCAACGAAGCACGAGGTCAGAAAATACTCTTACTGCGGATCTGTGGACAAGGAATAGACACTCACGTCGTGATTAGGGAAAGCTGGTTGGCAAATCCCTTCAGTTCCACCGCTCATGAATGTGGCTGGAGCTGTTCGATCATGTCTGATCCTGAGTGCTCAGACAGCGGATCAGTAAGGGCACACGTCTTACACGAGATGACACGTAGGACACTGCCACAATACACATGGGCAGAAGGAGGGGTAAGACCGGACCAAAGACACTGAAGAGCCTACCATATGTACCTGTGTTGTACATCCGGCGAGTTTGGAAGTTCGTTTGACGCGAGATGATACAGGAACCTTTCTGTCTTGCACATTTGGAGATCGAGCTTCCAGATGAATACTTGCATGTAGGGGCAAGAAAATCCGGGATCTACCACCATCTGTTACACGCGACCAGTCATGAGTATTGTTACAATATACTGATTGTGGAATGTGTTGCAAGAAGAGGAGGTGTACCACAGTAAGTACCCGTTCTGCTGCCGTTGCTCACCGGTCGGACCACAAGGTCAAGATACCCAAGTCAGCAAATTGATGGCAGCATGCATGGAATGCAGTACACGCGGAACAAAACATCTCCCAATAACGGGTACGTACGCAGGATGCTGGCTTCCCCAGACGTTCTCTTGAGTATAAACAGTCGGCATGGGCACTGTATCATGCTCGTCACTCGCGGTTCCATCCGCTCTCGCTACGCTACCTATCCGTTCCGATATTGTCTGTCTGCCTGACTCATGGATTCTGTTGAGCTCGAAGAACCCTATGACGAGGAAGGCAATTTTAGCTATGCCCATAGCGAGGATGACCTCGACAACGATTACACAGGCAGTGGGGGTGAGCAAAGTGGTGAGGACCGATACGCGAACAGTGAGAGCAATGGAAGCGATGAAGCTCCCGATGATGCTTCAGCAAATGACACGGATGGTGAGCTTAGTGACAGTGTGATTAGCGAAAATCTTTCGATGTCACCAAGCGATGATGACGAGGAAGATGAGGACGAGGAAGATGAGGACGAGGAAGATGAGGACGAGGAAGATGGAGAGCTCGAGACAGGTAGCATGGAAAGCGATGCTAGTAGCTCAGACGAAGAGGACGAAGAGGAGGTGAATGACAAAGGAACCGATGTTAGTGGCCCAGACCAAGGGGATGATGAGGAGGTGAATGACACAGAAAGTGACGATATTAGCTCAGATGGCGAGGCAGTATCAATCGACGAAGAAATCATCAACCCAGTAAGCGATGAAAGCGGCTCGGATAGTGAAGCAGATGTCTCGATTGGAGAGGGCGCTGGGGCAGACACCTCAGTAGAGTCTGTGGGATACAGCGGCATGTGCAACAATGACAGCACTACACACCATGAGCAAGAAAACGTCTTGACGAGTACGCGGAGTAGCCCGGGAGGGTGGACGGAGTTCAAAAAAGGACAGAACACCGCACCTATCCACCATCACAGCACCTACCAAGCTTATCAACCCAACAACAACTATCAATCTACATACGACCATCAAGCAACCAACAATTATCAGCTGACGAACACCCACCACCCGTACAGCAACAATGAGAAGACCAGCAACTCCCCGACGATCGTTCAGAGCCGAAAGAAAGTTCCAAGACGTCTTCCTGAAGTACAAACTGTGCTCGATGCGTCGACTCTCAATCGCAGTAATACGCCGGCTGGTGCGCGGAAGATCGCGCATCCAAATGCAATGTCGTCCAAAAAGTCTAAAGACAACGCCCGCAGAACCAACGAAGCTCATCTCTTGCACCGTACCAAACCCAATCACGGACACGCCGAACTACCATTCGAAACCAAGCATCCTCGAATATCGAAAAATCTTGGGAAGTCGAAAGCCGGCAATGAGATCAGTATGGCTGACGAGCTCTTCCTTCCGGTCACATCAACTCAATCTACCAAAAGCAACCCAAAGCCCACAGCAACAAAACGCTCTCCTCTCATGCACGAGACGGAAAGAAAGCCTGTAACAACTGCAAGTCCTAAATCCAGCAAGAAGAAGCGCAAGCCTACGGTCCATGAGATGGAGGGATCTGCAATCCAAGTCCCCGCGAACAGCAGGCAGCAGTCCAACAGCAAGGCCAGCGGTACGAAGTTGTCCAAGAACAACGCAATTCGCTCTCATCTTCGACCACCCCCCGTATCTTCCAGCGACACAAAAGAGACATGGGTCCCTACCAGCTTCTCCAACCCCCTAAGGTTCTCCTAAATGGCATCTTCGCCGGAGTGATGATGCAGAGGCGAAAGTCTACAACAAGCATATTTGATCATGCATCGCATGCAATCATCGGCTTCAGTATGTCGAAAGAGCAAGGTAAGCGGTATGAGGAAGCTGGGATGAAGAAGTAAAAGGCGGCCAAGGATGGTTTTATACTGTGGTGGAAGCCTTACACGTCATCGGCGGACTACTTTGATAGGGGAGATTAAGTTGAGTATTCTGGGAGGTTGATCTACGAAATTCTCGACGAATTCCAATTCATTATGCTGTGTTATAGTTCTGACCAGATAATAGTTGCTTCACTCACTAGTCATTTGTTTCATCGTCTGCCACTCAAAAACATCTCCAAGTACTTTGCAATGGTTGGAGCGAAGAAGCACGTAAAGCCAAGCCTCTGACGTAGCACCCCAGCCCAAAGCCTGCCCATATGTGGTGCAGGTTAATCGCGACCATACAGACGATGCCATACGATAGCTGTAATGCCGACGATCCGGTCAGCACTTCGTAAGATGTACACCGATCAGGACAACACCTAGCCAAACGTCATATGCCTCTTCCAACTCAAATAAGAGGTCCTCTCACAAGGACGCCTAGATCACTTTCCCGATTTTGCTTTTTGGATTCCCAATAACAACAAGATTCATTGGTCACGCACGCGATTCTAGCATACCTACCCCTCCATCAGCAACATGTCAGGCATCTTCAGCCTCTCAAAGTACCTTCCCCGCGCCTCTCCTCGTCATGCCCAGCCTTGCGATAGCGAGAAATGCGCCGAAGACTTTGGTCTCGACGTAATGCTCGTTTACCCAGAGTCGAAGGAATCGGCTGAAGACTGGCCAGCAAAGTTCCGAGCTATCACGAAGTCGAATGTCTATTGCTTTCGTATGCAGCCAAAGGCACTGTACCCAGAGAAGGATCTCCAAAGCTCTTCAGAAGAGGGCGCAGATCTGCCGACTGATCCGAAACCAGAAGGCGCTTACGACAAGTCATCGACAAGATCAGTTGTATTTGTTGCTGAGACACCCGAGGCTCGAACTGTTTATGCGGAGGTGCGCCAGCCTGAACCGATCGTACTCGACCACATGAGAAACCGGATACCTTTTGCTGGACGTGTCTATGGCGTGATCGAGCTGCGACGTAAATCCAATTTGTGGTTCACATGTATGCTCGCATGGGGGCAATGGGGCTTGCACAACATCGTGAAGAACTACTACGGCTGCCGGCAATCGACCGATAAGTGTCAGTCTGCGAGACAACCGAGGATCGTCACCAATCCGTCAACTGGCTTCGTTGTTTTCGTCACGATCATGTCCATGCTGGACTACTGGATGCAGTACGACATGAATCGAGGGGACTATTACCAGCGACTATGCCTGGTTACTGGGATCACGATGGGCTTCCTGTTGAGTCAGTCTGGTCCGTCCATGGAATCGTTGCCTACGTTGATGGCTGCGATGAACTTGACGATGACTTGCAGCGCTTTTGGGCACTTGATCTGGCGGAAATACTTCAGCACGTGTGAGAGGAGGCTGGAGCAGAAGCTAGATGAGTGGAAAGATGAGGCTCGCTGTACCCAAATTTACTTGCGGAAAGACTCCAAGCTCGAGTGCGAAGCCCAGAAGCCCCACGTTGTCAAGTTCCACGAGCTGGACTAGGCGGATCGAGTGTCGATTACTATGCGAGTAGGATGACGGATAAGCTAGAGGGGAATCTGTGACGAATAGTCCATGTCAGTCACGTATCTCGAGTCTGAGGGCGGCTTGGGTCCGGGTATTGGGCGGTATTGTTATTCTTGATTGTGCGCAGGTCTATTCCCATTGTGTGCCTTTTAGTCGTTGCATGAGATATTCCACTTCCACCTCCTTTGTCAAGGGTATGACCCAATCCTGTATTGTCTGTTAGTACGAAGTATGAATGAATGAGGGCACTGAACGTACCTTGTACATGCCAACGACGGCGTCTGCATTCACCTTGGACGAGCCGTTCGCGCCCAGGTCCGGGTCTGTGCCGTACGTCTTGGCCTTTAACCTCAGTCTCTCCAGCACCTTCTTTTCTACCGCAGCATTTGTGATGGCCTCGTCGATGCCTTTCCTGTTTTCGTCCTTGATCAACTTGACGAAGCGCTCTGTCTCCTGCTGGAACTTGGCCTCGGCAACGAACTTGCCAAAGTGTATGCGCCGCGACAGGGACTGGATGGTCATGACATCGCAGGTGGCAGAGGACCCGTAGTTCTCCTGCGACTCTCCCCGGTCCTCGCGGTCTGTCTGCAGACATGCGGCGGGCAGGATGTGCTTGATGTAGCAGTCCTTCAGCTGGGCGTTGACGTTGACATTGTTCGGGTGCAGGATCTGCGGGTAGTTGAGGGGCTTGAGGATGGGCTCCTGGAGGACTTCTGGGAAGAAGGGGTATTCGTCGGGCGACTGGTAGCGGCGGACGAGGGACTGCAGGCGCTCCTGCTCGCGCAGCATCCAGTCGAACAGGCTGGTCTCGGGCTCGCCAATGTCGACGCCGCCGGGCACGTAGATGGTCCGGTTGAGGGGGAACTGCACGCGCTCGATCAGATGGAAGGTGATTGTGTCCTCGAGCCGACTGTGTGTTGTCAGTGAGACTCAGGCGCGCATGGCGGGGAGGCGTACATGAGCTGGAAGCGGATGTTGGCCAGGTCAAGCGCCTTGGACGCGTCGGAGAGGTCAATCGCGTCCATAGTTCCTTCTCAAGCTCCCAAAAGGGCAGATATGTGGGTGAGTGATGTTTGCAGCCATGGCAGTCCGGTCGTGTCCCGAGCATCGGCGTGCTCTTCGGCGGATGACGCAGGCGGGTGCCGACTGGTGAGCTCGGTAGTCACTCCCCTCCGCAACACCATTATCACCATCTCGAGCACCCGACGCGCCTCTCGCCTCCCGCCTCACCGCCTATTGGCCTTTTGTAGCACACGCGAGCACCTGATCTGAGATCCTAATGCGAAGATAAGGATGCCCTAGCGACGTCTCCTCCACTGCGCCGCCCGTAGAGTCTCCCGCCACGCCTGCTCGCATGGCCTCGTCCACCGCCCGCAATGGATCCCCAGGTCGCGGCCGGTCGACCAGCCCGCGCTCGCCGCGGTACTCGCAGGCCTTTGACGACGACGACGAGAGCAGCTTCATAGACTCGCTCCCCGATGTAGCCCCACCGCACCTTCCCTGAGCCCACGGTGATGCTAATGCTCGCTAGACCCGCCATCTGCAAGCTTTTGGCAAAAAAGTCACAGCCACCGCCGGCAGCTTGATAGGCGCCGAAGGAGTCACCCAGCACTACCAGAACGCCATTGGCGAGCTCCACCGCGAGCTCAGGCGCCCGCTGATGCAGCGCTCCGTCTTTTCCTTCGCCCAGACCACCCCCCGCGAGATCGTGCGCTCGCGAATCTCCGTCCCCGAGATCCAGCAGCGCGCCCTCGCCTACATCCCCAACGACCTGCTCTCCAATATCCCCGAGGACAACGCCGAGTTCTCCCTCTTCCAGGGCTTCGAGGCCTCGCTGCCCGACGCCCCCGACAGCCATGCGAAGAAACACGGCCGCCACAACGCGCGCGGCCAGCGCCTGATCGGTGGCGGGGGAGACGACGACGATCCCAATGTGCCCCCCTCGATGCAGAAGCTGCGGAAGCAGCGCAACAGCATGGGCCACCGCCTCGAGATGATGGGCGTGCGCAAGCACATGTGCGTCGCCGAGATACACGAAATCGACAACAAGATCGCCAACCTCAATACCATGCGCAAGATGGTCCTCGACCGTCTGGCGGGGCTCGAAATCGAAGAGGGCGAGCTGGAGCAGGACCTGCTGACCGTGGACAACCGCATTGAGGACCTGCAAGAAGAGCTGGACGACGAGGCTGCACTGGCACCCAAGACGGCAGGGTCGCAGACGAGCGACGAACAGTCAGAAGGCAAGGGCGAATTCATGTCCGAGTCGATATACCAGAAGATACCCTCCTCGCCCAAGACGAAAAACAAGGCCAAGAGGCTGTCAAAGAGAATGTCCATGCCCGTACTACACGAGCATCTACAGTCAGGATCCAAGATCAAGGAACTGCCCGCGCACATGGACGCCATCACCGCCATGGACTTTGACGCTCCGTGGGGCATGATGGTGACCGCATCGCTAGACGACACAGTACGAGTATGGGATCTGAGCGCCGGCCGGTGCATCGGAATGCTCGAGGGCCATCTCTCCTCCGTGCGCTGCTTACAGGTGGAAGAAAACATCGTCGCAACCGGCTCAATGGACGCTTCGATAAAACTCTGGGACCTGAGCAAAGCCGAATACGCGCCCATGGATAACCGGATAAACAAGCCTGATGAAGAGAGTGACGATGGTCTGGCATTCGAGAACTCGGAAGACGCACCCCCTGCGCCACCGTCGACCAGCATGCAGGACTGCCCTCTCTTCTCCCTCGAATCACACGTCGACGAAGTCACTGCGCTACATTTCCGTGGAGACACTCTAGTTTCCGGTTCTGCAGACAAGACACTACGGCAATGGGATTTGGTCAAGGGACGATGCGTACAGACGCTGGACGTCCTCTGGGCTGCCGCCCAAGCCACGGCTACGAACACCTCCAACAGCACATGGCGACAGACGGGACGCTCTGCCGACTCCTCTGCCGACTTTGTAGGCGCCATACAGTGCTTCGATGCTGCACTTGCTTGTGGTACCGCCGACGGTATGGTGCGTCTATGGGATCTGCGTAGCGGGCAGGTTCACCGAAGTCTCGTCGGTCACACAGGCCCCGTCACAGCCCTGCAATTCGACGATGTCCATCTCGTGACCGGTAGTGCCGACAGGAGTATACGCGTAAGTCAACCATCTTTCTTCCGACTGTTCTCTGACTAACATGCACAGATCTGGGATCTCCGAACGGGCGCCATTGCCGACGCCTACGCTTACGACCACGCCATCAGCAGCATGATGTTCGACTCACGTCGGATTGTGTCTGCAGCAGGTGCAGACGTAGTCAAGGTTTACGACAAGACAGACGGAAGGCACTGGGACTGCGGACCCGGAGCTGACGAGAACGACAAGACGACCCACTCCATCATCGAACACGTCAGGATAAAGGATGGCTATCTGGTTGAAGGACGTAGAGACGGTACCGTGGGTGTCTGGTCGTGTTAGTAGAAATATGGAAGTAGAAACATGGGAGTAGAAGCGATGAGGATTGTATATAAGAACGGGCTGCGCATATGCCAGTCATGTAAATGGCAAAGTGTTGTACTGCTGCAGAATACTCATTACGATATCACTACCAATCAAGTTTATGCCACTGCAAAGGACCAAGATTTCGTCCACCCAACGTCTGTCGTGACGCAGGCGGGCCGCTTTCAGACGGGATATTAATACAGATATTATCCACAATGCCGTGCTAAACTCAATCAAACACGAAGTCTGCCCGGGCGGGATGCATGCTTGGTGAAGACCAACTTCAGTACACTGGTAGACATGAAGGGCTCACAGTGAGGTTTAAAGATGTATCCGCGTTGTCTGCAGGCTATGTTACATTTCCCATCATTGCAGTAGACATGGAAACACAGTTCTGACAGGTACAGCGGACGTTACAAGCACGCGGCAGACGGGGCCAGTGGAAGCTTGGTTGGTGGTGGAGCCACGCAAGGATGGCCCGCGAAGCTCCGATCTGCCATGGTGACGTAACGCAGAACCCCGATTGACATTTCCGCGCTCTGAGACGCCTTATCCCTGCTCCCACGCCGCCGTGGCATTTGCATACTACATTCGCTTGTCCTATCTACCTATGCCTTCTCATCTCTAATTTTGCAATTGAACCGTCAATTGCTGGCATCCCTCGCGTAGGCGCCTACCTCGATCCCGTCTCATCGCCGGCTTCCTCTCCCGGTTCCACGTGCTCCGCGCGAGCTCCAAATTCCCGCCATGCTCCCACGACAGGCCGCGTCGCTGTCGCGCGGGTACAATGCCACCTCCAGGGCCTCAATTCTCTGCAGACGGTTACCGCGAGCGACCAACACACAATTTCGCACATCCTCTAGCAATGGAAGCCCAGCATCCGCTGCGAGACGCGCCGTCCTACAAACCTCACAATTAAGCAGGCAAACCCCCACCACGACCGCGATACGAACCGTCTCGACGAAACCTCTCCAAGCTCCGCGATCACGTCTTGCCCGGTATGCCTACCGAACAGCAGCCATGCTAGGCTCTTTCGTCGCCGTCAGCGGTGTCTTGGTCATCGCCTTCTTCGTCTACGACGCCTACACATACAACGAGGACCCTATCGCGACCGATATCCCCGTCTCCGAACTCGCACTCAGTCCGAGGAGAGGTGGCCCCAAGAACCTGCCTATCGCCGACCACTTCGTCGACGACGATGAAACGCCCGAGAATAAGAAGCTCAAGCACAAGCCAAAGTTGGTCATACTGGGTACGGGTTGGGGCAGCGTGGCCCTTCTGAAGCAGCTGAACCAGGATGACTACCACGTCGTCGTTATTTCGCCGTCCAACACCTTCCTATTCACGCCGATGCTACCTTCCGCTACCGTCGGAACGCTGGAGCTCCGGTCCCTCGTCGAACCGGTCCGAAAGATTGTAAGGAGAGTACGCGGACACTTCCTCAAAGCAAAGGCTGAAGACGTGGAATTCTCTGAAAAGCTCATCGAGTGCTCAGCTGTAGATGCCAAGGGCCAGGAGCAACGGTTTTATGTCCCATATGATAAGCTCGTCGTCGGAGTCGGATCCGTCACAAACTCGCATGGTGTCAAAGGTCTCGAACACTGCCATTTCCTCAAGGATATCAGCGATGCCAGGATTATCCGTAACCAGGTCGTCAAGAACCTCGAGTTCGCGTGCCTACCGACAACATCTGACGAAGAGAGGCGAAGACTTCTATCGTTCGTGGTTTGCGGTGGTGGACCTACTGGCGTAGAGTTCGCGGCCGAGCTGTTCGACATGCTGAACGAGGATCTCTGCAAGCTCTACCCCAAGCTTCTACGCAACGAAATCTCCGTCCACGTTATTCAGTCCCGAAGCCACATCCTGAACACCTACGAAGAGGCCTTATCTCAGTACGCTGAGCAACGTTTTGCCCACGACTCGGTCGATATCCTCACAAACTCGCGCGTCAAAGAGGTCCAATCGGACAAGATCCTCTTCTCGCAAAAGGATGAGAACGGCAAAGTGGTTACCAAGGAGATCCCCATGGGTTTCTGTCTATGGTCAACTGGTGTTGCGCAGACCGATCTCTGCAAGCGACTCGCCGCCAAACTCGACGGGCAGAACAACAAGCACGCTCTGGAAACCGACACACATCTTCGTTTGAACGGATCACCTCTCGGTGACGTTTACGCTATTGGTGACTGCGCAACCGTCCAAAACAACGTCTCTGATCACATCGTCAACTTTCTACGCACGACTGCCTGGGAGAAGGGCAAGGACCCCGAGAAGCTGCAAATCTCGTACTCGGACTGGCGCGGCATCGCCAAACGCGTCAAGCAGCGCTTCCCACAAGCAGCGAACCATCTTCGCCGCCTAGACAAGCTGTTCGAACAGTATGACAAGGACAAGTCTGGCACTCTGGACTTTGGCGAGCTTAGAGAGCTGCTCTTCCAGATCGACTCGAAGCTCACATCCCTACCCGCCACCGCCCAGCGCGCTAACCAGCAGGGTGAATACCTCGGGCGCAAGTTCAACAAGATCGCCCAAGCAGCCCCCGGCATGGCTCTCAATAACGTTGACTACGGTGACCTGGACGATGCGGTATACAAGGCTTTCGAGTACAAGCATCTGGGTAGCTTGGCATACATCGGTAATGCAGCCATCTTCGATTACAACGGCTACGGCTTGAGCGGTGGTCTGCTGGCCGTCTACCTGTGGAGAGGCGTCTACTTTGCACAGAGTGTGAGTCTCAGGACAAGGTGTTTACTCGCTATGGACTGGACAAAGAGAGCGCTGTTTGGACGAGGTATGTTATTCCTTCCGTGGTGGTGTATGATTGTGCCTCAGCTAACACGGAATAGATTTGATGAACTTCTAAGCGATACATGGCTTGCTTTTGTGAAGCGTAGATCAATAGACCGACGACCGTTTTTCGGTACCTCATCTTCCTATGTAGATTATTCCTTGTTCGATCTACTGAGGGCGGCTTGATGCCGTCACTTTCACCAATATACTTTACCTTGTTCAACAGTATACATGTAAGCGTCGGTGAAGCATTTGGGTTTGCGCTACCAAGCGTATAGCTGAGCCCGCGCAGCGGCGTAGCTATTGGAACGTGATTCACCGCCTCCTTCTCATGGCCATCTTCACATCAACACAGATTCAATATTGTGGTTCAGTATATGCTGAGTTCGTTAGTCGGTCCAGGTCCAATGATAACGAGATACAGGCACGAAAAGTAAGCCGAGTCACGCCATGGAGATAACGGGCATACAAAGTAAGCCGGGTCACACCATAACAATACACCCCTCTACCCCACACTTCAACGGAATTTTGTCTTTGCGTTAGCTGAGCCGAGATCTTTGTGCTTTCAGCGCGATCAATAGACTTGAAAATACACCGAGTTGCTGTGCAACGCTCTCGTGGTGGAGGTAATGCGGATAGGAAAATCTCACGCCACTCGTCAGCGTACGACGAGCGTACACAGAATACACCGTCTTTGGTAGAGGTGGTGCTGCTTCGAGGATGTGTGCTGGTACAGGTATGATACGGGGGTAGGCAGAAAAAGAGCAAGTGAGTCGATGAGGGTGTATAAGTATCACCGGCTTCTGCCCATTTCTAAAAGCAAAACAGACAGCATCTTGAACGACCAGATCTTCCAAGACAAACATCTATCGCTTTGTTTAGAACTTCATCTGAATCCTTCTCAAGCAAATATGCCTGCCATTACCTCATCCATGCTTTCTACTCTCGTCCTCGCCATTCCTCTGCTCTTCCCCTCGAGCACCGCTGCCGCCGCAGTCGTCAAGAAAGATGTGTCCTCAGCAGTTGTAGTGGCTGCCGAAGCAGCCCTCGTAGACGCAGCCGTCACCTTCACCTCATTCCCCAGCCGCTCTGAGTGCCTGTCCAACCAGAGCGGAACCCGATACGCGAACCCCGATGCCGGCTGTTACCATTTGCCCGGGCAGTCCATGGATGTTAATGGCATAGCTGGTGGTTGCCGTGGTATGTATCGTGATCTCCCCACTGTTGACATAAAGCCATGCACAGCTGACGTGCCATGCTCAATGCAGTCTTCATCTATCAATCCGAAAACTGCGATGGTGGCGAACGGCAGGTCGGTTCCGGAGAGATTTGTGTGGATATCTCGAGCTTCAATACTATCAAGGTATTCTGTGGTTAAGCGGAAATAGCTCTAGGAGAGTTGTCGAGGTTGCATCCCGAGGATCTCAAATGAGATTTGAGGTGGAAGTGAGGTCTGGTTTTGTGCTGTCGTTTCCTTAATCACTGCATTCAACATGCTACTCTGATATTTGTACCGAGAAAAGACCAGTGTAGGTAGCTAGGCCAATGAAGCTGCATCGCGCTGATGAACGTACTCTTAATAACTTATGTACCCGTGAAAATGCAGTGTAGTCGAAGCGTGCATAAGTCGGCTGCCCCGTAATACTGTCTTCAAGGCTCTTGCTCATCCATTGCTTCTAGCCGCGTGCGGACCATGTTAGGATTCGAGTGTCCTTGTTCGTCGGTCCAGCATTTCAACACTTCTTCGCGCATAATCCTGCGTGGAGCTCTCTTGCCTGTGAAAAGTTCGAATTGAGCGAAACCTTGTTCAGGCAACAGATCAAGGCCATCCAAACAGATCCATGATGCTGACGCTTCTTCGCGAACTTGTCTTGTCAGTGGCGTATTGAGCGTTCGGTAAGCTAGTTCTATCACTACACCTCCAGAGGGAGACTGCATCCATTGAGTGGGTAGCGTAAAGTCAGGCGATGGTTCGTCACCTACGGGATGCGTAGGTATGCATGATACAATGACTGTCGGTGCGCGGAGATCTTTTGGCCAGGGATCGGTCCTTGACTCAAGTATGCGAAACGTGGGTTGAGATCCCTGGACGAACGATGGGAAGAGCTTCGCCGCCGATGGGCTTGCAGCTAATGCGGAGAAGTAGCTGACTAGCTTTTGTGCGTTCGTGATTGTTCGGTTGAAGATCACGATGTTCTTGATGCCAAGCTGTAGCATGGCATAGATTGCCGCCCTAGCCATACCTCCTGACCCAATGACCAGGCTGGAAGTGGTCGTTGGCCGCACAGCATTAGCGGGAGACAGACCTCTTCGTATGCAAGATCGGATGCCTATCCAATCTGTGTTGTCGCCAAATAGCGCTTTGACAGGTCCGGATTGGTTCCGTTCCTGGTAGAGCTCAACCCCATCCGCATCGGGAATGCTGCCATCGTCGTTGAGGTGACGAATTGGGAGAAGCGTGTTGACTGCTCCAATCGCTCGAGCGTGACGACTTAGCGAGTGTGAGAGAACAACCGCATCCACTTTGAATGGCTGGCTGACTGCAGTGCCGCCAAAGTTTGGCCGTCGTATCAGCTCCCGTATGTTTTCGTCCAGTGTCGCAGTTTGGAGGCGGTCAAAGTGGTGAGGCATACCACACGCTCGATATGCCGCATTGTGCATAGCTGGGCTAAGACTGTATCCCGCTGCGGCACCGATGATGTAAAACTCCATAGGGTCGTATGTAAATGAAGCATATAGGATATGTGTAGCTTCTGTCACAGTAAGCCATGAAGTTTCTGGGTTTCTTTGTGCTCTGGTCTCAAAATCTGCGCTCTTTCGTAGCTTTTCTGGTATTACAGGAGTCAGAACCTGGTTGAAGCAAGCAGAACGGCGGCCAGCGCGTCCGGTGTTATAACATATTATGGGTATTCTCGGTGACTTGGCGTATATAGTGTTGCGGAATGACTGAATGGCGGCGTTATCGTCCATGAAGTTCGCTGGCCTGGTAAAGCGTACCAGGCTGCAGCCCAATCGCATTGCTGTATCGTATTTTTCGAGCCAGAATACATCGTACCAGTCCATGGCTGCGTGAAGATGGCCTATTATCTTGGTTGAGCCCCTCGACGCAACGATTGCGCGGATCAGTTCCTCGTCCATGGTAAGATCTACAGTGGCGAACTCAGGTGCCATTCGTAGACCGTACCACAAGTTTGCCAGGTAGGACGTTGTGGAATGGCTTGAATGTGCTGAAGGCGGCATCGTGTGAAACATTATCGGAGTCACGGTACTCCTCCGCACTCTGAATATACTCTTGCTTATGTTCTCCGCGTGATCCGCTGTAAGCTGTGCGGGTTCAACGACTATCTCGAATGCGTCACAGCCAAATTCCAGCTCTTCAATGTCGACTTCTTCAGGCGTAAGATCTGATAGTTCAACCTGAACGGCGCATGTGTAATTTCTAAGCTCCAAATCGACATACGATAAAGGGAAGTGACCAGGGTCGAGCGTGGGCGCGTCACTCTTGATCTTTCTGCGGGTATTCGTGGGAGATAGGATAAGTGCCAAAAACTTGAAGAATGTTCTTTCCGCTCGTTTTAGCGTCAGGAATGCTGGCACAGAGGGCTGATGTGCAGGTGCAACCGAGAGGTGGGCTGCGTTCGTTTCGGATATGTTGTAGAACTCGTAGTTCGAGCATCGCCGGAAAACCGGAGTGCTGAGAGCAAGCAACTCTCGAACTTTGGATTCGTCCGTGTCTAAGTATTCGCGTACACTGCGCACGTCTCGTGTAATGTGTATCACTGGGTGCGATGCAGAGAATTCATGCAGTAGAGCTTGGCTACTGCTATCCAGCGGAAATCCTCCGTTGCAGACGATAATGGCGCCTCTGCTGTGGTTTTGTAGTGTGTCGCGTAGGATCTCCTCCTGCCGAAGGCCACGGTTCGAAGATCCGAACTGTTTGCGATACGCAGCGGTCGAGAAGCCTGTTGCGGTGTGGAAGACACTCTCCATGTCGATGACCCTTCGCTGGCAGGCTACTGAAGCCATCATTGCCAATGTTGCTTTGCCTGTGCCATGCATGCCAATGAGCACGATAGATGCCCGGGAATCAAACATTCTTCGGCACTCGTACTGTGTGGGTGCTGGTGTTGACCTTGCCGAATTCGGTAGACTTCGCTGTTTGGACGCCGGCGGAGATGGTGTTGGGAGCGAAGCTCGCCCGTCCATCGCTCCGGTTTCCTTGTTCATTGCCGCAAATGAACGCTTCGCACCAACCCTCATGAACGCCATTGTTTACGGGACTTGGAATTTGGGAATTGTAGTTCCAAAGTGTCAACAACATGAAGCAGAACATGGTGCTGCAGTTGGCAGCGACGAGTGCCTTAGCGAAACACGTGATAGCGATGAGCCCCGCTTTTCCACGGGGATAAAACTTTATCCTGGTGCGCAGACGCTTCCCCGGCTTTCTCCAGTGCCTCACTAGGTAAGCTCGATGGCTTCTTTAGCAAGATGCTCGACCACCCCATATCTGGGTGATCACCAATCTGCTCTTTCGGCAAGGCTCTATGAGGCGCTTTCGTGTTTCTTGTGCGACGGCAAACGATCGCTGTCGAACCCATGTCTTTGCAAACCCAGGAGAAACGCCGCCAGATCACACAAGACATACCGGTAAAACGGTTTCGGGTATCAAGAGCTTGCGATCAGTGTCGCAATGCCCGCGAGAAATGTGACGCGAACCAGCCCAGCTGCTCTCCCTGTCTGGACGCCAAGCGCACGTGTACATACACGTCAAACCCGAAGAAGCGAGGGCTCCAGCCCGGCTACATACGCAGTCTTGAAATGACACTGGCCTTCATTTTCCAGCAGCACGCTGAGATTGAGACTTCAGTACACGAGCAACTGGCCCAGGAGAATACGGTCTTGCTAGCGAGGGGTACTAAGGACTCGAATCGTTTACACAAGAGCTGGACCAAGAGCAGATTTTGTCGAGATGTTACCAAAGCATTGTCCGGAGAGCAGATAGGAGCAAGCGAGGACAGGCCGCCAAGTTCAGACGAAGATAGCGAGGTGGACACCGAAGATGCCACGCTTCTCCAGATGACACCTAAAGCTCAGTCTCAGCATTCGGTACTAGCCCTGATTGACTATCTTGATGAGTACTGACTTATGCAGATATCATGGCAAAGTGGTACGAACTACGCGATGCGCCCACCTCCATTGCCGGATCTTCATTCTCCGTGTCTGCAACAATCTACAAGCTCTTCTCCCCTTACCCCCCTGCCCACAGACTGCTGGAGGTTGATCGAGGTATACTGCACGTATACACAATGCTGGCTGCCCATTGCGGACAAGCTTGAGATTCTCAAGCTATCGTATTCTTATGCGGAACAAGGTTTGGCTCTGTCAAGCGATATGTCCAACTCGGGAAGTTATGCAGAGATGTGGAGTGTATTTGCAGTCGGCTCTACGCATGACGACGTGAGTCTGGCAGGAGATAGCTACCATCCATGGCCGTCCGGAAGACTTTACGACATCGCGAGGCAACTTATCCCCAATGAGCTAGGCAAATTCGAACTAGGTCACGTCAAGGCCCTTCTCAATCTAGCGTTGTTCAACATCCATGGGAAATTGTTCGATGCTGCCTGGCATCTTGTCGGCGGTGCTTTACGATTAGCCCTCATGCTTTCAGAATCGCCAGATGCTGTTACACTTCGGCTCAAGCATGTTATCTCGAGTTGTTTTGTGCTCGACAGCCTCTTGGCCTTACATCTCAAGCGGCGCCCGTACCTCGACAGGGCCGATCTTTCGTGGATGGGCAAGATAGAGGAAGATGGAATGGAAGAATGGCAGCCATGGATTGGGCATCTCAATCTTGGTCCATCACGTCTGTCAAACTCTCCGACACTCGCTTTGAGCACTTTCAATGCTCTCATGGAACTGGTTGACATTCTCCGATGTACGTCTATGGAGCGGACAGCGCCAAACTTTCTACATGAGATGATTGGTCGACTTGAGATGTGGAAGTCAGCGTTACCACCAAAACTCGATTACATTCGGAAAGATCCACCTTCTACACCACCGACCCCACCTGCATTGCTTCTCCGATTCACTTATCTCGTCACTGCGTTTACTCTCGTTCCATCTCAGGCATGGCTTCAGCAGATCTTGGACATGTTGAACATTCTACAACAGCAGCTTGGGGTCACAAGAATGCCAGCTGTTATCACCTGCTTATTACAAAGTATCAAGAGAAGCACCAATAGTCTGACTCTGGATCAACCAACACATACACGAATTCACGAGTTATTTGCTGCTCTTGGCCATTCATCACAAGAGACTTCGGAGAGAGCATCATCGGGTTTGCGATCGATATCGGTCACTTTAAGAGACGCGTCTTCGGAAGATTCTGGAACCGTTCAGACCTCTCCGCAGTCTCTCGTCTCACAACATAGCGGTCCGTTCACCGATCGGTACCAGCAACCGCCCAACCAGTCTACTATGGTCCATCCAGATATGAACGTTAGCCATGCAGGCCACAGTCTTCAACCATTCGAACCCAATCTATTCGATTTCGGAATGGCCGGCCCGATCTTCGACCCTCATGATCCTTATAATGCTTTAGTCTCGGGTGATTTGGGAAGTTTCCTCGACGACTTCGCTTCAAAGCATGGTGCCAAGAAATTACAAAACCAACCGCAGTTTATGGAGAACCTCGGATTTTCATCGGAAGTAAGCATGGCCGATCTATTGGCGGCTGATACTGGACGTTTCATGCCTACTGCATCGAACCTAGGCGTAGATAACAGCGAGGAATCTCCTCAATTCCCGCTCAATACTTTCTACGATGCTGGTTGAGCGCGACTGAAGGCTCTTGAGCTCAAAAAGAAGGCAAGGCCTCGCTATCCAAGAAGTCCAGATTAGCAGAGTCAAGACGTGCGCCTTCATCATTCTGGGCGTCGCATTTAGGAACGATGCTTAATTGTTGGGTATCTTCTACATATAGACTGTCAAAGGATAAAAAGCACGGGAAATTGAACAAGAAAACCAAGTCAGCTTCCACCTCATAGCCGCGCATACTCGGCTTGTCCCACGTTGCTTACTTCGTTTCGCGGTCTCTCCATAGATGCCAATGCATCATACACCGCACCCGTACCAAGCTGCAAATCATGGCACATGGCATGCCACGCGGCCGCAGCGCGCTGTGCCAGTTCTTCAACGACCCCCTTATCCTCTCTGTTCATGACTCGATTGAACAACTCCATGCTGACCCAGCCCTCAAATCCAATGTCCTTGATGATGGCACGTGTGACATCTTTCACGGGCAAGTACGCTCCACGACTAGTCTCGCCATAAAACAGCCTGCAGTTTCTGCTCCAAGACATGCGAGCGGGCTGTTCGGCGTTGTAGAAGGGATGACCGGGAAGCAACGGTCGTGCGAGACGCTCGGCGTCGACGATCTGGATGAAAAATATCTTCTCTTTGTGGGGTTTAATCTGGGCAACCAGTCGTTGTGTCGATTCGCGAACTGCCTGATCAGCTCCTACGACCTTTCCAGATTCGGCGGTAGGGTCCGCATATATTCTGCCCAAGATGTTGAAGCTGTCCAGGCAGATGCCAAAGTTTGTTCGATCAACCCGTTGTACGATATCCCAGCATACTTCCCATTTGTCAACGTGTGTTCCCCAGCTCAGGCTTTCGTATGCGAATCGGATGATTGGTGTTTGTTGCAGTCCAAGGTCTGCAATCTCTTGGAGATCACTGACGATGAGGTCTGTATCGGAGGATGTCTGGTTGGGTGGTAGGAATGATGAAGGGACTTGGACTATGTCTGTTCGGAGGACATGCGCTAGTCGCATCCAAAGCTTCATCTCTTCGACCCGCTCAGCGTGTCGCGTCCTGTCCAAGAGACCCTCGTAGTGCATGAAAGGCTGCAGACATATGATCTCCAGGCCCAGGGAAGAGCAAAGCTCGTAGACCGAGGCAGCGCCTGCGAGCAGGTCGGATGGCTTGTCGGACCCGGCGTGATCGACTAGGTCCTCGTAGAAGAGCTCGATGCCTTCTAGTCCATGTTTTGCCGCCATGGAGAGTTTGTGTTCGAGGCTGTGGCCAGCGTAGCATCGGCCTAGCGACATGGAGGAGATACCTGGGCGGCACGGCATGATGTTGATAGAAGATAGAAGATAGAAATAGAGGCGTATGTAATATGTAGTATGGGATTGTGAAGGTGGAACTACAGAGTGAATACTGAGAGGCTAGCAGTCAAACTTGTGAAGCTGATAAGACATCTATAAGCAGCTGGCGTACATTCAAGGCCGTTCATAACCCACCGATATCCTGATCAACGCATCCTGCACGACCGTTTCCTACCATGCACATACGCATTGAACCTTCCCCGTCCAATCACGCTCAATGAGCACTTGTCGCTCGTCTTCCCGGAATAATGTTGGAAAATGAAACACACACCTTACGCAACCATGATGTGCCGTGGCAAGCAGTAGGCAAGCCCAGCCTGGTGACATCTTGGTGGTACAGATGGGGGTTCGGCGCTAGCCGGCCGGAAAAGAGCTCACACCCGTGCCCAGGTGCATCGCGCCACTTCGGTCATCGGTTCCCGATCGAAAAATGGGCCGTATCACTCTTGCATCTCCAAGCCAAGGCGCGCTATGGGAAAACACATGAGAGGTATTCTATGACAGCTTTCTAAACGTTCTAGTGAGCCACACGCTGTGATAATCCACAGTCTCGTACCAGCAGCTAGACGTTATTGCTGCATAAGGCCGTAGAAGCGCAGCGGGCAGTTTTGGACGCCGGTGGTTTTTCGCAAGTATCCATGCATGGATATCATCGGTTGGTTGACGTCTGTACGACCACTCTGTCAATAAGAAAGATCCGACACTTCTAGTGACCCGGGCGTGCGAAACTGTCCGGCTGTGTAATTTAAGCACCTGCAGTAATGCATCATCAACGGCCAGCGCGAAAGCAGAGTCCGCACCGACCTGACAGCTGAGCTAGAGGCGCTTGCTCTTCTACGCGACCACGTGCTCGGGGTCAAATGCCCGTGGAGAAAGCGTTCATCCTGCCGGTAACGATTAGCGGTTTCGAGCCGACGTAGCCGATACGTGTGAAGGCGTTGTCTCTCACGTCGCGGAAGGCCAAACCGCCCTCTATGCTGTAGGGGCTATGACGTCATTGGGATCGCTTATTGGACTTGAGGTCCGCGATCAAATCGCCCTGAGTCATATCGAAACTTATACTGGTGACCTGAGTGATAAGGTCCTGAGCGGTGCAAGTCACGAAGAATCTAGTCATGAAGGCGGGTATCAAAGAACTCTCATGTGATGCACATTGATCATGATACATTCATTTGCACGCGACTACGAGTGCGTGTTACTACATAACACTCAAGCCATCTCAGTGTGCTCATCTGCTCTTGCCTTCTCATCCCTGATCGTCAAGTTCACTTCCTCATTCTCCTTCATCCTGTCCACAAGAATACCATGTGCCTTGAAAGCGGGCTTGATGGTGAAGAGCTCGTCCATGCGCTCAAGTGGGACTCCCTTTGTCTCGGGTATCAGGAAGAAGACAAAGGGTATAGAGAGCAGCATGAGGCATGCGAAGAACATGTATACTCCGTAGCCCATGGAGGCAAACATCTGGGGTGTGAAACGAGAGATGATGAAGTTCCAGAACCAGTTGTTTGCTGCGGCGAATGCTTGACCCAAGGAACGCGTCTGCTGGCTGTACATCTCGGAGTTGATGACCCAGGGAGTGCCGTTCCATGAAGGGGTGTAGAAGGCGGTCCACAGGTAGAAGAAGAAGACTGCGCTGATACCGCCGGAGGAGAGTTCGCCCGAAGCGTTCTTGTTGTTCGTTGGATCGGCGATCTTGATGTAGGCAGCGATGTACCACATGCACAGAGATCCACCTGGTTAAGTAGTCAGTATATGTTGCGCATCTTGTTGGGAGATTGAAGGCTTACCCAGAGCGCCGAACATGAGAAGCTTAGTGCGGCCGAGGCGATCGATGAGCCAGATGAGCCAGACAAAAGTCAGAACACACTTGACGACACCGAAGATACCAGTGGTGAGGAAGCCTTCTGTAACACCAAGACTCTTGAAGACAGTCGGAGAGTAGTAGTTGATTGCGTTGATACCTTCAAAATGTCAGTCTGTGTCTCATGCAGCTTGTACATTGACATGCTTACCAGATCCGTTCTGCCAGAGGAAAAGCATGCCGCCGAGGAAGATGCGGTATTGCACCTTGCGTTGTTTAAGCGCAAGGAACGGCTTCCAGAATCCAGGTCCGACAGTGATTCTGTCATGTTCGACCTGAGCATCTATGGCATCGAGCTCCTCCATAATATATGTGTGGTCTTGGGGAAGGTTACGGATCCAGCATAGATCCTTCAGTGCTTGTTCGCGCTTTCCCTTGGTCAGGCACCATCGAGGTGATTCCGGCATCCAGAAGGCGCCAAGCAAGAGGCAGCCGGCAGGAATGAGTTGCACAGCGAACGGAATGATCCATTGCTTGTGGGAAGGCTCCATCGTCTCCTGAAGACCGTAGTTGATCCAGCTATGAGTGTGTTAGTACGCGTTACTCTCGAACAGAATCCAGGTTGCATGACTTACAATCCAACGAGACCTCCCATTTGCCAGCCGAGCTCGTAGATACCGACCAGACGTCCACGCACAGCTGGTGGTGATAATTCGGAGATGTAGATAGGAACCATGTTGCTGCATCCACCAACTCCCAGACCTGCTAGTACACGACCACCAATGATCAAACCGAGGCCTCGGTCGCCATTGGCACCCAGCATCATGCCAGCACCCAAAATGAACTGGGTATGTCAGTATTTGCTCCAGTATATCTGTAAAGTACTCGGGTGACTCACAATGAGTACCCAGAGAATGAGCGACTTCCTCCTGCCAATGTAGTGACTGGACGCATACGCTCCAAAAGCTCCGAAGAATGCACCAGCTTGGTACACAGAGACGATGTTAGCCTTCGTCAGATTCAACTCGGCGGGGTCCATCTCCGCAAAACGGAATTCCTCAACGAAGGATGGAAGGGCCAAAGTCGTGCCAATGAAGGCACTGTCGTAGCCGATCATGCATGCTGCCCATGATGCAATACATGCTGCTGTGTAGACTCTCCAGTTGTAGACCGCCTTTGGTGTCGGTCGATCTTCGACGATGGTAAGGAGACCCATGTTGAGGTGGTAACTCGATGTGCCTTGGGGAATCCAAAGTTGATGGACTCAGATGACACCGATGAAGGTTGCTAGCCAGACAGGTAGGCGTAGCTTGGGCGAGATGAGGAGTACTTCAATGGACGAAGATCGGCCTACACCTATATATCCCGACCGAGAGGAACCCGGCAACGTGCTGTTTTGCGGAGTATGTGGAGAAAACGCCACAAACCCCATGGAGATGAGCTATGAAGGTGTCAAGCAGTCGCGCGTGTGCTCATTGGCCGTCCAGTTCGCAGAAAGGTTGATGCTGACCTTGGCCCGGAAGAATCGCTAAGCACCCCCAGGAAGAATTGAACATTGTGCGATTGCGGAGAGGAACCATGCTCTCGCCGACCCCAGACCGTTCCTAGGGACCTGGATTTTCGCGCCGGTCATGCCTAGTTGGGAAGTGAAGGAATTACCCACAGGGTTGGTGATGCTGCAGGGCCCGGAAACGCATTTACACGCGAGGTTTAGTGGCCGGGGCATCTTCGCTGATTGGAAGAAGGACGCAGCTGTCAGTCGCACACCGGACCGTCGCATAGCCTGCACGCGCTTGACTCGCGTCTCCTCCACGCGCGACATGACTTTTTCCGGTCCCCAACGCGTTGAATCTGGGGTATCGGCGCATGCGTTGGACGTAATCATGGAGCGCTTGTCTTCTACCCCGAATACCCGCTTTCCGAGGATTCAATATCTGCAAGAGCATCAGGCGTCACCAGAACGGCAAACCTCCCCAAACTTCATCCTCGTCTCCTAAGCACACGACATTCACACCCACCATGTCTACCGAAACCAGCATACCAGAAGTCTCGCAAACCGAGCGCCATGGCTACCTCTTTGGTCACCCGATCGCCCACTCAATGTCGCCTTTACTACACAAGACCGTGTACGACAACCTTGGATTGAACTGGGCTCAATACCCTCTGGAGTCAAGAGACATGAGTCTGTTCCTGCAATTGATCAAGCATCCTCAATTCTACGGTATGCGCAATACATCAAGCAACCATATTGGTAAATATGACTAACAACAGTGTAGGCGCCTCGGTCACAATGCCCCACAAGGTCGCCATACTAAAACATCTGGACGGCCTCACGGAAGAGGGAAGGGATGTCGGCGCAGTCAACACACTCTTCATCCAACAAGACGCTTCGGGAAACCGATTATACATGGGCACCAATACCGACGTCATAGGGATAAGAGATGCTTTCGCATACAACGTGGAACCAGCGAAGTTTGAGAACAGACCTGCGTTAGTGATCGGTGGAGGCGGCGCAGCGAGAAGCGCCGTGTATGCGCTGAGGAAGTGGATGAAGGCCAGTGCCATATATCTTGTGAGTGACCAGACAAACGCATTGCTGAAAGCTGGAAGTTGGTGCTGACAATACCACTCTAGGTCAACAGAGATCCCACAGAAGTCGCAGCCGTAATCGAAGAGTGCACAGCCCGCGGCTACGGCGACTCCCTTGTCCACGTCTCCTCCGTCTCACAAGCACAAAGCCTCGAAGGTGTCGGTGCGATCGTAGCCTGCGTACCGAACTTCACACCCGTCACACCTGCCGAAATCGAGGCGCGGCAAGTCCTTGAATGCTTCCTTGCGAAGTCGCATAAGGGAGCTTTGTTGGAGATGTGCTACCACCCCACGACGTGGACGGAGATTGCGGAGGTAGGAAAACAAAATGATTGGCAGATTGTGCTAGGTACAGAGGCATTGATATATCAGGGTCTGGAACAAGACCGGTATTGGACGGGGAAGGCAGTGGCCGATTTACCAGTGGTGCAGGTGCAGGAGGCTATTGCTAGGAAGTTGAATGAGGCAAGGTTGTAGAAGTTAATGGAATTGGACATACACACATGACATGCAAGGCGCAAGTGAATATGCGAGTTGTGAGTTAATTTGGAAAAGGTACAATTGCAAATCGCTAAGCTCCAGGCCGCGAGTAGTCTAGGTTGCGTACCCGCCGCCATACCTCGCGGACTGTCCTCTCTTGACTCTGTCGACCTGTCTCCGCGGGGGATGGTCCTGCTGGTCTGTAGTCCAATATTAGCATAAGCATCGTTTTGATTTACTGCAACGATGGCTTACCTGATAGCCAAATATAACCGGCTTCCCAACCTCACTTCCTCTATAGGCGCGCCAGCCCAGTCCTCTGGTGGATTTGCTGTAGTCACTAAACCCCCTGCTTCTTGTAATATAGCAATGCCAGCCGCGACATCCCACTCCCAACAGCCTCCCTCCCACCAGATATCAAACGAGCCCATAGCAACATATGCCAAATCGAGTGTCGCACTCCCCAAACTTCTGACTCCATGTACCATACCTCCTCTTCCCTGCCTTCCCCCAATTTCGGCTGCCATGTTGACAAAGCTTTCAATCTTGCGATGCATGTTGCCATCCGGCGTATCCCTCCTATCTTTACCCCATTCACATGAAAAGACACACCCGCTAGGCGCTTTCTCTGGCATAGGTGGTATTGGGTTGCGGACGAGTGGGAGGCGTTGCGTTTCGTTGAAGAAGGCGCCGCGGCCGGCGCAGGAAGAGAAAAATTGGTTCGTGAACGGCGCGTATATGACGCCAATGAGTGGTTTGGACTTGTAGATGAAGGCGATGCTGACGCAGAACATGGGGAAGAGGTGGATATAGTTTACAGTTCCGTCGAGCGGGTCGACACACCATGTTGGAGCGTTGTCGATTAGGTAGTCGCGTGATGAGCCTTTGCTGTAGGATTCTTCGCCGACGAATCTACTGAATGTCAACGTGCGCAATTAGACGGGTTCAAAGTCAAGGACATACTTGTGCTGAGGGTACTTGTCAGCTATCGCCTTCTTGATAAACGCTTCAACATCTTCATCCGTCTCCGTGACTAGGTCGACAGCATTCTCCTTCTGAACATGTTCATCCTGTCCTGTCGCATTCCCACCCTCTATCCGCAGTTGCGCAGCATCCATAAGCATCTTGCCGGCCTGCCGGCCTAGCTGCACGGCAAACGCATAGATCTCATCTAGCTCTTCTCTTGATATTTCCATCATGTTGATCGCGGGTATTGTGTACATGGTAGGCAGATGTTTGGCTACGAAGAAACGCCATGGCGACCGACACGCGCCAGAACGAATCGCGTCCCAAAACCTCCGTCTGGAACCGTACCGGCTAGAAGCGGAAAGCGACCTGATAGCTGTATGTAGGGAAGTGGGACGTCATGCTCGCAACTGAGGGCAAGAGGGCCGATCGTTAGGGGTGGGGGTAAGGACTTTTCCCCTTCCCTACGTTCCGACAGCCATCGGAACCTCGGAATGAAGCATGTCAAGGTGGGCCTACCCACGCGACGCGACAGACACACCCGTGGACCTTCCCGTCGTTGTCATAGACGCATAACACCAGCACATCTCGACAGTTTCCACGACCGGGACGATCAAGTCTTTCTAGGTCAACAAATATCTCCTTAGCGCATATATCCCCCATCCAACAGCCCAAAATGCCCAAATCCATCCTCCTAATAAACGGCCCAAACCTCAACCTCCTCGGCACGCGCGAACCCACAATCTACGGCTCCACATCCCTCTCCGACGTAATCACCTCCGCGCGCACCCAATGTACCGCGCAATCTACAAACTTCGCTCACATCCAATCGAACCACGAAGGCGTTCTTGTCGATCGCATACATGAGGCACGCGGCAATGTCGACTTCATCGTCATAAATCCAGGCGCTTTCACACATACGAGCGTGGCGTTGCGAGATGCATTGGCGGGTGTGGAGATACCTTTTGTCGAGATACACATCAGTAATGTGCATAGGAGGGAAGCGTTTAGACATCATAGTTATCTGAGCGATAAGGCCGAGGCTGTTATATGTGGATTGGGGGTGTATGGGTATGAGGCTGCTATTGAGTTTGCGGTGAGGTATCTTCGGGAGAAGGATGAGAAGGCAGCAAAGCTGTAGATAATCGCATATGGAAGACCGTTGCGGTGCAATAATGGTTGATTATTAATGTTAGGTAGTCTCAGATCGAGTGTCTGGCCTACCAGTTCAATCGTGCGTTCTAGTAAAGCCCTTCTTGATATCCTGTCGCGCCTCGAGGTACGTTTGCAAAGCTGTAATAGCTGGCAACAGAAGCATGACCACGCTCAAAGTCTGGCCAAACCCCCAGACATTCTCTTCGTCATCTTGCAGTCCGCAAAACTGATCCGGATCCTCTGGCCTTGCGAATTTCTGCGTGAGTACCAAGATAGCGGACAGTATAGCGAGTAGAATCTGAACTACGAACGTGATCGCTGGGTTGAGGAAGAGGTAGTATATGCACTGAAAGCCGAGCCGCGCTGGGGAAAGCGCTCGAAGCGAGAGGCCCCTCTGCTTTTGTGTCGAATCTGTAAAACGGCGTACGAGGGCTTGTAGTGACCTCTCCGAAGATGACGATGACGGTGATTCCAGTCCTCTTCCCTCTGGGTCGTACAGAATGCACACCAATGCTGTTGAGAAGCCGACGAGAATGAGGAATAGAGGGACAAGAAATGAAAGCCTCTGTACACGACTTCGTACCATAGATGTGCCATCGTCGCCTTCAACGAGGATCGGCGGCATGGCGATCGCGGCAATCATGGAGGTGAGTAAGAAAACAGCGAAGAATACGACGAGTGTGAGGCGGATTTTCGCAATGAGCTTGTACTTGCGGAAGTATTTGCGGAGCGTTATCAGGGCGGCGAGGTGAGAGGAGGAGGATAGCGCACACACGTAGAGGATAAGAACGAAGTGGGAGCCTTGCACTCGGAAAGAGCCTTGAGCTACCTGGTTGTATTCTGTCAGCATATTGTATCTCACTGGGAGACCGAGCGTACTTTGATCCATCCGCTCAGAAGTACAGCATAGCCCGTGATGAGTTGTTGATCACCGAACCCGATGATGAGTGGGTCAAGAAACGGTCGCCACGCATAGTGCTTCTTCCATTCATTCTCCAGAAAACGCTCGCGGATGTACGTGAGCGGCGCTCTAGGCGTGAAGTGACCTTTCGTATCGAAGGCTTGATCGAGAAGCATAGCGAGAATGGACGCGAACGTGGTCATGAAGCTTGCAATGACAAAAGACAAGACGACCTGAAGTATTGTTAGCTTGAGCCTAGACAGCATGATTTGGAGTGCTTACACCGACACCAGCAATGTCTGGCTCTGCTCCATTGGCACAATTTCCATCCCAGGTCGCAATACTATCGAATGTGACCCATGGAGGTGCCATACACTGACCGGAAGTTTACAGCTGGACTTGCAGTGATCTGAGAGCCGGGACCACAGTGATATAAGGTTATGCAAATCGCCCAAACAGGGCATTGCGAGACGCCTTGAAAAATGCTAGTGATAGATGTATGCGAAGATGGAGGGCGTGATGTAGGTGAGGAGAAGGCGGTGAGAGTGTGAGAGAGGGACCGATGTGCCTGAGGTGACCTGGAAGTACTAGTTTCCAAGGTCGCCGGCATTGCACGTGTCATCCCGAGGCAAGCGTAGGGGAGGAAAGAGCTATCACCGAAGCTCGCGTTGAACGCAGCCTGAGACACCCTGGGACAACAAAAAATCCACGTATTGAGCGCAGATCCTGCGTAGGATGGCTGGTATAGGCCGTCCGCTGGGTATCACATTCTATCTATAGAACCTACTTCACTTTTGTTTGCTCTTCGCCTTTACACGAGCAGCCAGCTTCTTGATGTCGTCCTCACCATCTGCAGCATCTTGCTTAGATTTCTTCGTCTCTCGTTGATGATCTGGCTCGTTTTCGTCCTTGCCTTGCTTTCGCTTCTTGCGGCCCTCTTCTAGCAGCGCCTTCATAGCAGACGTCTCCTTGAACCTGGGGTTTGTGGGATCGATGGCAAACTCGTGGCTCTGGTATAGCTTGGCGAAACGGGGATCGGTGGTATCGATCTGGAAGTTGTCCTCTATGATGGGAGCGTTCTTCTTCGCCTTCTTGCCCTTCTTCTTAGCCTTCTCCGACTTGACGATCTCGTTCATGTCAAAGTGACGCAGCTTTGAATCGTCTTCATCTGCCATGAGTAGTTCCAGGTTCGCTCGCTCAGCTGCCGCAGCCTGGGCCTTCTCCTCTTGCTCCGCCTTCTTCTTGGCCTTCTCAGACTTCTTCGACTTGGGCTTGGAGGCTTTCGAGGCTTCTTCAGGATCAGAAGCAAAGAAAGGATCGTTGAACGGATCGTCATCGTCCGCAGCCGCTGGCGCATCGGCCTCCTGCTCGACTGGTGCGTCGGGATCGCGTCCAGCCTTCTTGGCTTCCCATCTCTCTTTACGTTTCGCCTTCCTTTCTTTCTCCTTTCGGACGTACCTCTCCATCGTAGTCTCTTGCAATGGGATGTCATTTTCGAACACGTCACCGTTGCCAGCTCCGCTAGAAAGGCCTCCCGTGAAGGTGATCTGCATCTCGCTATCCGGCTTTGGGAAGTCGCGATCCCGTTTCGCAGACGCCTTCTTCTTCGTTTTCGAAGATTTTCCGGGTGCCTCCAGTCCCAGGGCCGCTCTGAGACTTGCGGCTTTGTCCATCTTTGCTGCTTCTTCCTCATCCTCGGACGACGACTGGTCAGAGCCCAAGTATGCTTGCAGCTCGTTCTCGTCAATCTCCTTGCGCGAGAAAGCACGCTTTTGTACCTCCTTCCGTGTCGCATCATCGGCATCCCAGGTCAGCTTGACCTTTGAGTGTGTGAGCGCATCCGTGGAGAACTCATTAGGTTTGTAACCGTCCGGCAGCTTTGCGCATTCGTCGTGGGGATCTTGGTCGAAGGTTGTGCCGTCGGGGACGAATCGCAGGTCGAAGAAGTTGGCGCTCGTCAGATACTCGCGGCCATCGAGGTTGTCGTAGATGGACTTTGCGACGTTCGCGGAAGAGCATGTGATGACGGCATAGTAGTAGCGTAACCGGTCAAGTTGGTAGGCTCGCAACTTGGTGGAGTCGAACTCTTCGCCTGTCTCATCTCCTTGTAACTCTTCCCCGTTTTGTTCCTCGTCGTCCACCTCAGAAGCGTCGGAGTCGTCATCAAGCGCGCTGATGTTGTTCTTGTCTTTGTTGGACGTCGAAGCGAAAATCTCACGAGGAGGTCCTTCGATTTCTTCCCGTTGCAGTCGCTCCATACCAAACTCGCTAGGGTATATGACGACGTTGAGAATGCGTCCATCAGCCGGGACGAAGGAGTTTGCTACGGCCATGATGTCGGTGGCCCGTATGTTATCCCAGTCCATGTTCACGGCAGCCAGTCGTGCCGAGATGTCGCCCGTCGGGACTTCGTTGTCGTCACCGGCAAGCTCGGTCTGTTCCTCCAGCTCAGCTTCATCCTCTTCGTCGCTCGAGCTTTCGTCCGATGAAGACTCTAGTCCACCGTCTCGGATAGGGTCGAAGCCTTGCTGCTCCACCCTCTGCATCTCCTTCTTGACCGCCTTGTCTCGCTTCTTGTCGGCCGGGCGTACTAGCTCGGGCTCGTCTTCGGCTTCATCTTCGTCTTCGTCGTCTTTGTCGTCGCTATCGGCGTCGTATAACCGGTCAATGGCCTTTTTGCCAGCCTTCTTGTCCACCTTGCGGCCGTATTTGTCGACCGTGGCCTTGTTGTAGAAGTCGGGGTCGCTTTTCAATCGCGAGAATCGCGGGTCAAGCTTGGTCTTGGTGTGCTTCTTCGACGGGAGTCTGAATTTTGGGTCGGTTTCGAAATTTGCGAATCGCGAGTCGTCTAGATAGGTTTTAGCACATCGCTCAGCCGTCGCGTGAATAGCCACCTACCCTTAGGCGCGCTGGCCTTTGCGCCCTTTACGGGTATCGTCTGTCGCTTGGGAAGAGGCATGGTGGGATGCGCGTGTCGGTGTAAGCGGTGGGCAGGCGCGCGGCGCGGAATTGCAGCTGTGGAACTCGAACTTTTTCTGCCGGGCGGTGGCAGATCGGCGGCGAAGAGCGTGCATTGGATACCGCCGCGGAGGTCGTCGCACGCACGGGCAGGGATTCGGCAGCCCGATCTGGGGAAGCTTTAGCTGCGTCACCCTCGAGAGGGGAAATACATCACAC